AATTTTTTTTTAGGTTCTAAGTAGTTTACAGGCCCGTAGGAACAAAATTTATATTATGGGGAGGGGGGGGATGGGAACAGTGCTGGATTAAGGGACCCCGAAATAGTTTTAAGGACCTTTTTAAAAGCTAACCTCTTCTTCGTTGCTACGGGCCTGGTTTAGTAATTATACAAACCCAAAAATAGAAACAACTATTTAAATTTTAGTTCTTAGACAAATATATCAATTAATAGATTGGTTGCTATGGGGGTAACTAAGTAAATTTCTCAATAAAATTAATTTGTTAACTATTTTTTGTTATTAAAACCATATCATGCTCTATTTGGTTGAAAAGCCAGTTAAATTTTATAAAAAGTTTACTAATAAAATAAAAATTAATTTTTTTAATGCAAATTGATAAGTTTTTACCATATAACCACCTTAATTACAAAATCCTGACAGTAATTGATTTGTATTCAAATAAATTATTTTATTTTGATCTAAAAAAGACCTGAGCATTACTCACTGCGTAAAATATAAATTTTTTGTCTGTTTAATGGTATGTTTAAAATCTCTCTTAAGAAGATTTGTACAGACATAGTATTAAATATCAAATATCATAATCTTCCCGAATGAGCATGTTGACTGAAATCAGAAAAATATGATCAAAACTTAAATAAAATGGAAGTTAATGAGAATAAGTTATTTCCGTTTTTTAGCATACTATCAATCTATTGATGTTGATTAAATATGCAAACAAAAGGTATAATTTTCCAAGAAGCAAATCTTGAATTGGAATTGATGGGATCCATAAGCCAATTAAAGTTGCTAAAAACCTTTTTAAACAAAAGTTGAGAATCAACTAAGAAAAGTAAAAAACACAAATGTAATTAGAATTATTTTAATTTTATTTGTCTAACATGTTGAAGAAAGCTTCTACTGTTTATTATAAAATGTTCACCTATTCAAACTAAATTAATTAAAGTACTAAGTTAATCATTATGTTAGATTTGTCTGCACGAGGTGAAAAATATGCATGTACTTACTGGTTTAATGCAAAAGAAACATTGGGAATATTCAGAACGCTCGGGAGTAACGCCCAATATGAGATAAATGTAGATAAATGCTACTTTATGAGATAAATGCAGATAAATTAAAAAACAGATGAAGATGTAGATTTTAATGTTGCCATGGTTTCATAATAAGAGTTTAGGCAGCCTGATTTTATAAGTTACCCCTCTACCTGACCTGCATCTTTATGAACATGTTATCACAAATGTGCCGAGAGAATTATTTTCAAATAAAACTCGTTGAAATTAAGTTCGTTGAAATAACTTTTATTAAGTATAACTTTGAAAGTGGAGGGCTGAAAAGATCTAACTGCAGAAAATATTAAGGTCTCTAGATGAGATGATAACTGTAGCGCAACTGCAGTATTATGAGTGTAATGACACTAAAAATCTTTAAACTAGTTAAAGAATGATACATATTATACTAGTAATATGCTTTAAGATCTCCATAAGATGGTTTATTTTATTTTTTAGTGAGAGCTGATTAGGAGTTATAATAGAGAATCTTATGATCCCACAATTTTCCACTAACTCCACAATATTAACCAAAAAGATACAATGAGAATAATTTTAACGTTTTGCTCAGTTGGAAGTAAAATTCATTAAATACATTTTAAATGATTATTTGAACCTTCATCAGATTCCTATTGGCTTAACATTAGAATAAGCTTTTAAAAATGTCCATTAGATACATAGTATTACTATTAAGCAATTCGGGTTTTTCGAAAATAACTTTTTTACGTAAAAATAAAATGGAAAAAAATAGTCGAAACTTAAAGCTCAATAAAAATATAAAGATTATGCATCAAATACCAGTTTATTAGGATAAAAGCTTGTAGATAAGTTTACTACAATAATATCCTAGAAAATGTACTTTTACTCTCATTTATAGATTTAAAAAAAAAACTATTATTAGTTATGAGACAAAAACAAACAAAAAAAAATGGAGAAAATAGCTGCAATATACAACTCAATGAAAATCTTAAGACTATTAAAACATATTAATTGATTTCATTATTTATAGAAAGAATTTAAAGCAATTTGTATTCAATATTTATTTAATATACAATCTTTTTTGCAATTTATATTAACTTAGTTAAACTTTTTGCATAAAAACGAGTTTAAATTAAAGTTTTAAAACCAAGTATCATTTGGTTTAAAAAAAATGAAGCTATTTTAAATTTTTTTCAAAGATTTTAACTTACTTGATCTAAATGTATATCAAGCTAATTGTTATAATTGTTGTGATTAATTTGTTAGAATATTAAATAGTAGATAAGAAAAGATTTTGTATATATAGGATTGAAACTGACATTTGCTAGATATTTTAGACTGTTTCCAATTTTGGGACACTTTCAACAATAAAAAATTTTTTTATTCAAGAATCCTAAAAACTGACGTCTTGCCGCATGGGAATTATGGGTTTTATCTGCTTTTTCTTAAGTGGTAAAAATTTAACTTTTCGATATTTCTTAATAACATCATGATTTTTTTTTTTATTTGAAACATTTTAGATTGATAAAATGCGTAAGTATGCAAAGTATTAAATCTTATTAGAAAGTAATGATTGAACGTTAAACGTTCTACCTCATTGATTAGCTGTAATAACAATCTTGCTAATATCCAAAGTAATAATCCTGCGTTATTTTTTTTTAGATAAAATCACCTACCATGTCCACGAAGGCTAGTACAGCCGAGGAGGCTAATTTAGTTGCAGTTACAACCCTCTCTCAACTCTATTGACCTTGAAGAATTATAACAGAAAAACAAGTTGACGTGGTACTAAAAGTAAACCAGGTGTAGCAGAACTACCAGGGACATGGAGGAGAAATTGGAATTTCTTGCTTATGATGCAAGCGCTTTACTACAACATCCTTACTACGGAGAGATTTAAACTAGTTACTTATTTAAAAAAACTCTTTACTAAATTATCAGCAATTATATTGTTCGACATAATCAAATTTCAGCTCAAGTCTCCAACCAGCTCAGCCGGGCATGTGCATTTACAAACCAAATGGAAGTTTAAAACTATAATATAAACTTGTGAAATATTTTCAGCAGAAAGTTTAACTAAATTAATAGAAATTGAAAAAAATATATATATATATTGAATAAAAATTGAAATTTGTTTTAGGTTATTTTTAAAATAAATAATGAATTCAGCTAAAAAAAATCCAGCCAGCAAAAGCAAACGGGCCCTGTACGGTATTTATCTTGGCTTACGGGAACGGAATGGGCACGAGTTCTGATTTGAGTTCTGAGAGGCGATTTTACAAATAAAAAGATGGAGGGGGGCAAAAAAAAAAAATTCCTTAAAATCAAAGTTGCCGACTAAACCCGTAAAAAATCCGAAAATCACCTACTTAGGAGGGGAGGGTGAAAGACCTACCCCCCGTAAAATCGCCTCTGTGCAGATGTAGTTAGTATATTTTTTGTAAATAAAACTTTTATCAAATATTTTGTTATGCTATTATCAATAAATAAATTAATTTTCAATTTATAAAAATGTGATGCATTTTTCCATTTATTTAATTCGATTAATTTTTTTACATTAACTAGATGACGTGTTTTTCAATATAGTCATACTATTGAAAACTATTGAAAATTTTTATGTTTTGTTAATTTGTTAACAAATATGTAAGTAATTTTTTTTTTTAAAAAGCTTATAGGCATTTTATATATATATATATTTATTTTTTTTACAAAGCTTATATATATTTTTTCATAGAATTGTATCAAACCCACACAATAAAAAGTTGATATTTTGATTTTAATTAGTTTTTTGCTTCCTTTGAGCAAATTCTTAGCAATGTGAATCGCTTTTAATATTATAAAGATAATTTAATAACACTTTGCCTATATAAAAGAAATATAAAAAAATATTAAAAAATATATATAAATATAAATATATATATAACTATATACTAATATAAAAATAAATTATATAAATATATATACAAAGTGTATTTTATATGAACTGTAAATTTATATAACTAAAAGTCTATGTTCATGAAATGCAAGTTAAAACTGAAACTGTTTTAAGTTATAAATGTAAGTTATAGCAATTATAAAGTAAGTTATAACAATGATAAGTTATAACTGTAAGTATAGCAAATGTGTATGAACTGTAAATTACATTGTAAGTTCATATAAATATTCTACTGTATATTTATATATATATATATATATATATATATATATATATATATATATATATATATATATATATATATATATATATATATATATATATATATATATATATATACACATATATATATATATATATATATATATATATATATATATATATATATATATATATATATATATATATATATATATATATATATTATATTTTATTTAGATGAATAAAAACTGATTAGCGGGACTTAAAATTTCATGCCCAAATTTCATGCCTTAAGTTCTTTAAGCTAATCAGTTGAAAAATGGATAAAAGAATCAGATGATACGTTCTGAATTAGATGAACAATGGATAAAAGTGCACAACACAATAAAATCAGAACTCTTTTTACTCAAGCGCCTTAAGCAAAGAGAATACACTTAGCCCAACTTTCTACAAGTCTGCCGGTCTTTCGCTATTAGCCACATGATATATAATGCTCCATTTCTTACCTATTGCAGTGTTGCGTTAAAAAAGAGACAACATTTCCACAAAAATTCCACAAAAATGCCTTTCAATATTTGTTTTGACATTGACGTATTACTAGACAAGACCTGTATCAATATCCTATAAAAAATTCTTGCTGACACATACCATCCAATAACCACTAAATTTTGTAGAGTACATTTTAAAATTGGCATTATTTGCTGATCAAATTTATTAATCTGATAATTAAAATTGACTAGAAACAATTAAAATTAAAATTGACAACCAGAGTTTGTCTGCAGTTTTAATAAATAATAATTATGAAAGGTTTGTAAATATAATTATAATAATATTTGTAAATATTATTATAATTATATTTGTATTTAAGACAAGTATTAAGACAAGACAGTATTTGTAAATATAATTATCGTAATAATGATATCTACAAATACTGTTTTGTTTATTGGATGACTGGGTGACTCATGTAGGGAACTTTTGGAGATTACCAACTTAATGCTTGATGATGTTATTTCCTCCATTTACTACGATTAAAATATTGTGAGAAAATAGATTTTTTATTTGAATGTGTTGGCAAAAATCATTAAAATCTTACAGTATCTTAACGTATAATAATATAATATTCTAAAAAAATATAATTATATGATATTATAAAATATAATAGTTTTTTACAGCACTTATTGAAACAAGATATGGTATCAAGAAAGAGTTGCTTAAAGAAGGTATGTTGTAGTTATGTATGTATGAAGTTATGCGGTAGTGGTGTAGTGGTAGAGCGCTCGCTTCATAAACGAGTGGTTCAGAGTTCGATCCCCACCACGTCCCTGGTAGTACCGCGCTCAACTTGTTTCTCTGCGCAGCGGCCTTGTTCGTCAAGGTTCGTGTTTCGGAGTTATAGAGTTGAGAGAGGGTTATAGCCACAAAATAAGTAGCCTCCTCGTCTGTAGTGGCCTTCTCGGCCTTGAGAAAGTGAAGTATAATAAAAAAAAAAAAAAAAAAAAAAAAAAGTAGTTTTAACAACGATTTAAAAGCTTTTAAATCGGAGACAACCGTGAATACAGACGATACATGATTACGGAATTGTTTAGAAAGTTGCTCAATAAAAATGAAATTGTAATGTGCTTTTTATACAAAATAAAAAGCATATGAAATTATATAGTTTCTTTTTTATATTTTTAATAATTTTAAGTAGTTTTGCAAGATTTCCAATGGTTGTTAATAGTATTGGATTTGTTTGGGACCCATATGGGTAACGCGGCGGGCAAACTCATACGGGCCCCAGATGGAAACCGCAGGATCCTAGAGGGCTACCCACTTTGGGCCCAGTTGACAATCCGTACGGGTCCCACACGGTACCCGTATCACAATGCTGGTTCGAAAAAGCTCCGTGGGTAAATAAAAAAGTATAAAATCTTTTAAAATAAAAAAAGCATTTAGTAAAAACTTTGTCGCATAATAATTACACGAGTTTTTCCTTAATTTTTTGCAGCCCTTTACTTTGTAAATTAAAAAATATACGCTAATGTTTATAAAGTTGACTATGTTCTATTATGCTTATAAAAATAGTAGGTTCATTATGCTAAATCAAAAAAAATGTTGCGAAGATGTTTACTTAAATGAAGAAGATATTTTATAAATGGAATAGTATTAACGGTGTTAAGACCTTTAAGCTTTAAGCTTTTGAGAACAAAAAGACAAAGCAAAATAAAATTGTTAATCGCAGTTTTGATGGTCTTCAATTTTTCAAATTTTTGAATATTTGTACTCAAAATTATGAAAATTATCAAGACGTTGCCTTTAGAATATTCATTTTTTTTAATTGCAGCGTTATAAAAGTTTTTTCTTTCTGTTTAATTTTCCCAAGAAAACTAGCGGTCTTGTCATTGAGTACCATGAAAGAGCATTTAATTGAAAAGTTTAAACCTCCTTCCTTACCAATGACGCAAATTATGCCCAGTGCTAGCATTGGACCCTGTATCTCTTGCTTAAAAAGTAAGCCTTGTAACCACTAAGCCATTTTTGCCTAAAAATATTGAGCATTTTTAACTTTAAAAATTGTAAAGAACTATTAATGCTCTTAAAAATTTTTACAGATGTAAACTCACTAAGCTTTGGTAAAAATTTAGCCCATTATTGGCAGAGCCGCACGAGGCTTTAAGTTTTGAATGGAGACGATGAAAGATTTTTATCATTATCTTAGCTTTATAAGTCAACAAAAGCTATTTTTATCAATTTATTGAACTAATTTTAGTTCATTTCAAATTCACACTTAAATATATATTTCTACTACTTTTATATATAAAGCACTTTAGGTGTATAGATTTACGGAATTTATGAAACAATGATGAAATAATATCTTTAATAAATGATGAATAAAAAATATTTTTAAAAGTTTAAGAGAAAATAGCAAAACAGATTTTAATAATATTTAGATTACTTCAGTTAACTCAAGGTAGATTTATTAGTATCGGGAAAATGGGATCGAAAATTTCGTAATTTGCAATAAAAACTGCTGTTGTTCCTTGTCCTCCTTTAGAGTTTTATTGAATCCTTTTATGAGTGCTACATCTCGCTCTTCAGAATCATTCACTACTTCTCAGCACTTTCTTATCTATAATATAATATAATCTTGGTTTCAAGGCCAACTTTCAATTGAACAGTTCAAGAAACCAGCATTTAATCTTAAAAATGTAAAAAACTTCATGGCGTTTTTACTGAAAAAAATTCCTAGTCTTCAATCAAATTAAAATCCAAATTTTTCAGTTGTTTATCCGTTAAATTAAAGTCCAAACTTTTTAGCGGTTTATCCGTTCCTTCAATTTTCAGTCTCTGAACCTCCCTCTGTTTAGTTTGAGTAAAGAGATCATTGTCAAAAAAACTTAAAATTAAGATTAACATAATTTAAATACCATAAATAATTTAAAATTTTCTTAATAAATGTTTTTAAAAAATTCTCATTTACATTTTTGTACGCAGCCTCTTGCTCTAACTGCTTTACGTTGTTTTCAGGAGCTTTTGAGTTTAAAGGAGATTCAAACCAAAAGAACGTTTGAGCCAAACAAACACACTTTTCTCAATCCGTTCAATTCTCTTTTCTTTAGTTTAAATTGACTCCAAAGTAAATACACTTTTTCACCTGGTGGTCAAAATACTATGCTTTTTAGTGGTTGTTCTCCGATAAAAATTTCATAAAAATTTAAAAATCAATGTACGGTTGAGTAGCTCTTAATAGTCATTTCATGATCTATGTAAATTGAGTTGTTTTTTTTGCGAACACATATTTTTTGTCTGCATTTAGCAGAATTTCAGATTCTGGGAGTAAAAACTGCTTCGCATCAATTTTTTCCTTTACTGCTTCAAACCGTTTGAACAACAAAATTTCTGATGCCTGTGATGATGCCAAACATATTGTAACCATATTTTTTACACCTATTTTGTAAACATGATGACAAAAGAGCAATTATAATACATCGCAATTCAAGTACTGAACCACCAAAGTACAATTATCTTTAATGTGCCCTTTTATTGACAATGGCAGTGTTTTTTTTTTTTGAAATCACAACATCAATTTAATCTACCAATTTTTTTTTTGCACCAATACCTCTATTTGTATTAGTAAGTCTCTCAGTTGTTGAACAAATATTTACATTTTTAGAGTCCAACATTGATGTTACTTGATTATCTAAGATATATATCTGCCTCGTTCTTTCACAAGTGTTTCACTTTCAACTTCAATTTATGTGTCAAACTCCATGTTTTCTTTATTGATGAAACTAATGAAATAATTTGAATAAATGATATGTTATTTTTTTCTCCCTATGGATCTCCGTTTTTTGCTCAGAAAAGAAGATCTCCGATCTTCTTTTTTGTTTGAAGCAATATTAGTTCTACCTATTTTACCTTGTCTATTATTCTGTAGTAGGGCGATTAGGAAATCTTTATTCTCTTGGATTTTGATCAAGCTTAACGTATCCTCGAATTCAAACATGAGATTAATTTTCTCGCTCCGATCATTTCATTTCACAGCCTCAGTTTCTGAATTTCTCGGTAAGCTTTTCGATAATCGTTTTTGCATACAATTTTAAAATACAATTTTAGTATACAATTTTTTTCTCGGATTACGTAAATGTGAAGGACACATGTCTTTGTATTAAATATTTACGGTTTATGTAGTTGTTGCAATATCTGCGTATCTTGCTGACAATTTTTTATCTCTTACATTATAATAGGTCAATTCTTTTCAGTTAAGGACTGTTTGAAATTAATGAACCATCACATGTAACTAATAGCACCGTTGATAATCCAGCAGCGCTTCGTAAAAAAAGAAATGTAAGTGAAGACGTTCTAACCAATTTCTAAAAAATCATGCACACATATGAAGATGTAGAAAAGAAAAATCCAATTGTAAAATGATATTAGTTTTTTCATAAAAAACTGTTTGATTAAATAAGATGCAAATCCTTTTAAACGAGCAGTTATCTAAATTTTTTTATTATTTTTTTATGGCAGGGTACGCAGTGAATGACTATATTTGGAAGTATGTATGATTTATAAGAAATTTGCAATTACGCGCTATCACCAAACGATGAAAATGTTTTATCATAACTTACCTCATATAGATTTTTAAGTACCAAATATGCCACTTACTTGTTACAATAATAAAAAAAATAGTTATATGAAATCCATTATTATGCGTTTATTTAGAAATATTACGAATAGTGATTATGCTAAACACCGAATACCAAATATTCGGCTAGGCACTCGGCCAATGCACCGAATATTTGGCTGCCGAATATTCAGTGACCCTTACTTTACTTTATTAATATACTTGATTTTTATACATCAAATTGTTTTAACTATAGTTTTTTATAAAAGTTATACTCTTTAGACTATTTAAAAGGATTACAAAAATAAACAGCACAGTTATATCTCGCATTTCTGAGGTGAATTCAGAAGTTACTATAGATAGATATAGAAAAAATGAACTCCAAAACTAATTAAAAACGATATTTTTACAACATTCTGAACTTAACAAATGGTTTAACTTGGAAATGCTAGTTAGACGATTGGAAACGGAAATGTTAGTTAGGCGGTTTTCTTTTTTATCGGGGGGCTGAGTGAGCAATAATTTCGTAAGTGCAAACTAGCATAAGTGCTAAGCAGTTCAAAAACTGGCGTAAGTGCGAATTAGCATAAATTAAAATTAACATAAATTTTGAAAACATAATTGACCTTTTTGCAGCATCTACAAGTTGTAAATTGGAATTTGTAATATGGGTTGATAAAATATTAAATTACGTATATAGTTAAACAAATAAAGTTTTTTATATACAAACTCAAATAGTTGTGTTATAGTTAATTCAAGATATTATAATGTTTTAGTAAACATTGAATGCTTTTTTCGACAAAAGAATGAAAACCCCAAGTATTAATAACAAAAAGAGTTTTTTTAACTCATTTAAGATGGGCAATTGCCCCCTTAAATCTGCCCTTGTATATGTATGTGTGTATATATATGTCTATGTATGTATGTATATATATGTATATGTATGTATGTATGTATGTATGTATGTATGTATGTATGTATGTATGTATGTATGTATGTATGTATGTATGTATGTATGTATGTATGTATGTATTTATGTATGTATGTATGTATGTATGTATATATATATATATATATATGTGTTTAGATGTGTTGTGAAATCTGAAAAATCTGATATTGCATAAATTGCCGTCAGATTGAGTCAATTAGTCAATACAATTAGATTAACAGATTGTAAGGTAAACTTTTAAAGCAGTTTTTACTTCATATTTATAAATTAGATACTTAAAACAAAATTCTTTGTATACGACGTGAAAACTAGGCTGATAGATAAAAAAGAAAATAATTATAACAGTTTCAAAGTAGTCAAAGTATAAGTGAAGTAATTAAGCAAATCTTTAACGTCGTGGAATTTTATTTTAATGAAAATAATTAATTGTACATTTTAGTCGCTGCCTATTTATTATTTTTTTATAAAATTATGTAAAAATGGTTTTAAAGACTAAATAAAGCCTTTTTTAAGTATAACTTAGTGTGTACTTGCGCAACCTGATCTGTACTTAGATAAATTGATCTATACTCAGACAACTTGATATGTACTTAGATAGCATGGCTTAAAGAAGATCAACTATTTATTCATAAATGTTAACTAAATGTAGTAAGCTCTAGAATGTTATACAGTAACATTTAAGTTATGGTTTTAATTTATACAATATATTAATTTTGAATAACATGAAATTGAGATTTTATAGAGTTGGTCAAAATAATGCTTAATAGAAAAAAAATCAAGCCTCGGATCTCTTGATTCTAAACCAAGAGCTGTATTCAGTTCGCCACATCTGCTAATACATACGGTATAAAATACACAATACTAATGCACAAAACATTAGTCTGAATTCAAATATCAATACAATTATTATTTTTATTGCTGAAAAAAAAAACTTTTCTGGTGCCGAGCAAACAATTAGTTTTTTTATATGTTTTCTCACTTTGATTTTAAATATGCAACTCATTTTTCACCACCACGTCAAGTTGTAAAGATATTTGGGTTTAAATCTTTAGTATTTGGGGTCGAGTCCCTAATATTGTCGAAAAAAATTTTTTCGACAATATTAGGGACAATATTGTTTTTTTTAAGTTTGTCAACCTGGGTCTCAAAAGAAGCGTATTTTCATAGAAATTTCATAAATGTTATTTGTTTGTAATAAAAATAAGTACTTTTTGTATTATTGCTGAAAAACATTTTGTTAAAAATTTTTTTAAAGTCTTCAGTATTTTTTTACATTTTTTCACAATTTTTTTGTCAATGAGTTTAAAAAAAAAATATTTATGTTTTTCCAAAATCTCTATGAAAATACGCTTCTTTTGAGACCCAGGCTGACATACTTTTATATAACTTTTTTTTCCACGATATTAGGGACTTTACCCCAAATACTAAAGATTTCAACCCAAATATCTTTACAACTTGACGTGATGGTGAAAAATGAATTGCATATTTGAAATCAAAATGAGAAATACTATAAAAAAACTAATTGTTTGAACGGCACCTGAAAAATTTTTTTTTTGTTAGCCTGTGTAATTTTTTTGTTGTTGTTGGCCTGTGTAATTTTTTTGTTGTTGTTGGCCTGTGTAATTTTTTTGTTGTTGTTGGCCTGTGTAATTTTTTTGTTGTTGTTGGCCTGTGTAATTTTTTTGTTGTTGTTGGCCTGTGTAATTTTTTTGTTGTTGTTGGCCTGTGTAATTTTTTTGTTGTTGTTGGCCTGTGTAATTTTACTGTGTAGTAGTATAAGAAAAGTATATTAAAAAACTTCTCACAGAACAAAATAATGATAGTGAATAGATATTTGGTTATTGTATTTTAATATTCGCTTTTTGTAGAAGCAGAATAAGTTTTAAAACACTGAATTCAAATTAAAATCTGTTCATGAAGATAAATACTAATGTCTGTTTATGAAGATATCTACAAATCTGTTCATGAAGATATCTACAAACAGTTTATTTCAAATTATCAGACATTTGAAAAAAAAATGCAAGTATTTTTGGCAAAGTTTATGCGAAGATTTTTTTTCAGTATCATTGGTAGAAGTATTTGGAAAAACAATTCTAATGTTTTTGTTAATGCTTGAGTTTTATGGTGGTTACTTTATTCGGTAGACTTAATATAAAAAAAAGCTTTTTGTACGTGATCACAAATATGTTTAACTTGAAACATTTCGCATTGATTCTTTAAAGTAACAGTTCGGGAAAAGTAGACAAGGGTTTGGTGGTACATACTTGATTATTGTTTAAGATGTTATAGAAGATTTTCATTGAAATGAATTTCAAAATAATTGAATTTTAAATTTAATTTAGGTTAGTTGTGCTTTATGGTTTGAAAATCGTCTCCAATTTATAACATCATAATTATCTTCCAGAATATTTTAGAAACTTTCTAAAATATTCTGGAAGATTATTGAACATTTTAAAATTTTCCAGAGAATTCTAAAACTTTCCAGAACATTCAAGAACCTTTTTAAACATTCTGGAACCTTTAATTTTATTTTTAAAGGGAAAAATAATCTAAAGTTTTATGGAAGATATTAAAATGTTCTAAAACGTAATGGATGGTTCTAGAAAGATTCAACCTAGAAGAATTATTCCAATGGTTTTAGAAGGACAACAGTCTGAAGAGTTTTAGAAAGTTCCTATGGTGCATTTTGTACATAGCATATGAAATATAAAAATCAATCAGAACAAAATGGGTAATAAATTGACTGCTCACAAAACTAGTGAACCAAAAAACTAAAAGACGCAATCACAGCTTTATACATCAAGAATTTTTACAGAAAACAGCCTAATGTTCATCCAATTGAGAGATTTTCTGAATACAGTCTTCAGTTCCATAGGAATGGAAGAGTGAAATAAGTTTATTCAAAGATAATTGTTTTTATAAGTGTTTAAAGATTAATAAAAATCTTTAACATAGATTAGAAATAATAGAATATTATACTTAGCATTTACATATAAAACTCTCGAATAGTAACCATTACTCTAGGCTTTTTTCGAATAGCAACCAATATTCTTTTCAATGTTTTTTTTCATTCTGTTTCTAAAGTTTTCCAGTTGCATTTTTATATCAGTTGTTTACTTACCAAATTTTTTTCATTTTCCAGAACAGACTATTGCGTACATTTGTAATGGCTAAGGGATTTACAAAATGTTTCAGAAAATTTGACAATCCAGTTATAAGAAGTTCCAGAATAGAACTCATGAGATACCATAGCCATTTATATTTGACCGCGGACATGTTAAATTATGCTATATTTTTTGTTTTCTAATGTTTTATTTACTTTGAAGCTAATTTAACTTGTTGTTTTTTTACTTTATAGACTAACTTGTTAACTTGTTATTTTTTACTTTATATTATTTCCTGATTCATACAACTTGCAACTTTTCAAGTCTTCTGTTAACCGTTTCCTTGCTCTTTAATTCTATTCTTTTCTTTTTAGTAATTGTTACTAACTTGATAGTTGTTGACTAAGGCTTTGTTGGAAGTGAATCAGAAAAAAAAATAAAAAAACTGTCTTTGTAGACATTGGTATGTGGCCTCTGTGGGGCAATTAGTTAGAGGAGGATAAACCGCGTTACCTAATATTTATTGTAGTTTCCATTTTGAAATATTTTGTGCAGCAAAACTTATAAATAATTCTTTAGATAATATTTATGAACAATTAGATAATATTTGATTTAGATCTTTATAACTTCAGAAGAATTTTTCTTGACCTAACAGCTAAGATCACGTGTAGTATTTTTTCTATAATGCAGCAATTTTTGTCTTTTTTTGTTCTTTACCATGATGTAGCCAATAGACAGTTTTAATATTTTTGCATTTTTTTGTCGTTTTTTATTTCTTCTGGAACCCATTAAGTGATTTAACAAATCGGAATTTACTTGAGGAATGGGGGATGTAAAATCGATCTTGGTAACTCTCACTAACTCTGCTAACTGATACAGTGCCTATTAACTAGCATCCATACATTGAGCTGCAAGTATAAAAAAAATTGCAAACATTGGTTTATTTTTTTAATACAAATACAACGATGATACATTGTCATGTATTTTCTAACGATATTCATGAGAAGATTAACAACTAATAACTGCTTGCACATTTACATTGGTCCGAAGTATGTAAAAACATCGCAAAGCTTGGAAAAGTGTCTAAATAAAATTTAATTAAGATAAAAATTAAACGCAACGTAAAAGGTTGCGTAAAATATATTACTGTGCCAACTAAAAACGGCAACTGGTGTGATGCTAATGCGACTCGCAACATTGTTTTAAAGTTTTACCAATGTATGTGGGCTAGCTGGAATAGCTTGAAGACAAAAATAACTTTTTTAATAAAAAAATAAAGTGACGTTAAGACGCATTGGTTTAAAAGTTGTCTTCAGAATCAAGAAGTCCGAAATTCAAAGCATGTCCTTGTTAAATAAGCAATATTAGGGAAGGAGGAGTGAAATTTCTAGTTAAATTTTTTTTCACATTACTATGTAACAAGACCGTTAGGTCTTCCTAGAGTACCCTAATATCCAAAAAAAAAACAAGTCTGAACTAAAAGAACTTTTTTTGGTTGTGTGTTTGCATATGCTTGTAAGCTGTTACGAGACGAATTTAGAAGCATGATAGCTGTTCGAGAGATTTTAAACATAAATATAAATATTAAAAATAAGATACAATTTAGTGTGCTCAGACACCCAAGAGGTGGTAAAGCAACACTTTATGAACGTCATAAACCTCCTGATATCTCATATCAAGAGGTGAACATACCACTAAAATTGCATAAATTTTTGTATTATCCCCTCTTATCCGTACGCCGTCCATATCTTCACATGGACAGCCTACAGATATTCAGTGTCCACTGGAAAGTACAAAAATCAAGTCTAAATTACGTTTAAATTGAGAAACATTGAAACTCAAAATAAATTAGAAATTATAGCTAAAATTGCATATTTATAGTAACTCAAATATATGTTACCAGAGACGTATAATTATTATGAATATACAAAATATATGTAGAAAAAATAAAATTTATTGTTGATATATATATATATATATATATATATATATATATATATATATATATATATATATATATATATATATATATATATATATATATATATATATATATATATATATATACATACATACATACATATATGCATACATACATAACCTTTAATTTTTTTCTTACTTGAAGCCTCTTCTCTTGGTCTTGTCATAAACACAATTTTAGCGTTTTCAATTGAATTATTTCTGGAATGTGATATTTGACAAGAATTTTCTTTATCACAACTGACGCTGTAACAAATGTTTCTTTTAAACATTGCTAAGTCGCATTCTTTTATGGTACAACATTTATTAATACAAAGGTTGACTGAGTTGATCCCCTTTATAATAGTGTGTTTGTTTGAATTTATTCCTCCTTCTAAAATCATGTTTTCTAATATTCCTCCATGTGCGCATTCTAAAAAAATAATAATAATAATTTAAAAAATGCTTAATCATTTTGATATTTTATTAAAGAAACAAATGATAAAACTACTTTAACATTAGAAAATGTTAGTATATTTTTCACTAGAGCTATGTTTTGAAAAAAATTTATCGTTTGATATCATTAGGTCTGCGAGGGGTTGAATTATGTTTTATAAGAAAGTAGTTTATTATTATGTCGCTAAGTTTTACGGTATTTTATTTAATGTGTCTATCTGTAAGTAGCATCATTTTGTAAATTTCAATCCATAAACTCTTTATTTCATTAAACAAAACTATTGAAAAACAAGTTGATTCCAAAAATAAAGTGATTGTTTTGTAAAATGTAAATATGGGGTAACTTGAAACAGCATTTGTAGGGAGCCCTAAAATTGTAGAATAGAATACATTGTTTCATAAACAATTCTTAAAATCATTTCTTTTAATATTTACAGTCTATTTTTAAAAAAATTATGTAAATATAACACTAGAAGATACAATTTTGATATAAAACCATTACTTATTGACGCTGAAGAATGATATTTAAAACAGAATTTTATCTGGATTTCTGAAATGTGACATTGGATGCACTATTTGGGTTATAATTACTAATTTGTTTATCTTTTAAGTAAAAAATTTGCCTTTTCTCTAATTTTATACTTTTTATTTAATTTTTTAATGATATTTATGGTTTCTATCAAGATACCACATAGGTGGGGTAAATATACCACATAGGTGGGAACGATTAGTTGACAATTTTGTAATGGGAATAACTTACTTCTTTCTCAGCAAAAAAATTCTTCTTTTCCTGAAGAGATAGCGATGCTGGACTAGCTTATGATTTTGAGAATCACAGAATTAGATATCTCTCAGCGATCTTAATAAGTTCATCACATCACTGTTCTACGTTTCACTAATTTGCTTCTTGAGATTTTAAAATAACTCTTTTCCAATGATGTTATTTAAACAGCATTACAATTTCTCTACTTAGTGTCTCAATAGCAACTTTGATATGCTACATGGCAGTTTGCAACATCAACAAAGCATTAAAAGTTATCTTATTTAAGAGATCGGACATGTTTAACTCAGTTAATTTTTCAAACAGGCAAAGTTTCTTTATAATCAGTGGATAACCAAATGCGGATAGAATTTTAATGATGTTGAACATTAAAGTGAAATTCAATTTTAGCTCCAATTGCTTGAGTTACTTTTAACTGAAACATTTCTTGCATTCGGATTCCTGATATTTGTCAAAATCTCGTGCATTTTTCAAAATAGGATGGAAATTGATTTTCTAAATAATCTACATGCACCACCTCTATGTCATTACTTTCAAAATTGTCAACCTAATCTTCTTCATCAGAGTCCAAATTTAATTTACTTGAACTAATTGGGACGTTTTTTTTTATACACAGTGTCAGTTAATCACAAATAAATCCCATAATTAATACAACACTGTTCAATAATCTTGACAATTTTAATTGTTGCACCGTCTTGTGTTGAAACTACTAAATCTTTTTCAAATTTAATTGAAAAACTTTTTAAATGATTTGATGCTTCTCCAACTATTGCTTCAGCACTTCACAAACCAATGATGAAAAAAAATCCCAATTTATTTGTTTAATTCACTACAATGCAGATTTATTCAAATGAAGCGGCGGCGACGAACAGCATTTTTTTGCAAAAAGCTTGCGAAATGAACAGATGAACATTTTTTCCGTATTTTGTAAAAGTATAGATATTTTGTTTAAACTCAATTTTATATATAATGGCAACATTATCAGAAATTAAAAAAATGTTAAAAGAAAAGTTCATTGAATTCAAGAAAGAAATGCAAAATCAAACGAAAGCATTACTCAAACAACAAGAAAAAAACGTTTTAGATATTATAAGCGGAAATACGAAAATAATCGACTGGACAAAATTGAAATGAAAACCTAAGTAAAATTAAAATACTAGAGAAAGATGTTGCAGATGTTAAATTAAGTTTAAATTTTCAAGACACAACAGCTTTGAAAAGGAATTAACTTGTTCATAACTCTTAAAGAATCAACAAAGAAACATTGAAGATAGAAAAAGAAAAGATTAAGAATTCTTACTTAAGAATTCTTACTTAAGAATTGATGTGTTACCGGAAAATGATAATGAAACTTGGACACAAACGGAAGAAAAAGTAAAAATATTTCTTGAGAAAAATCTAGGTTTGTTGGGAATCGACATTGAACGTGCACATCGTAGTGGAATTAAAAAAGATAGTCGAACAAGATCATTCGTGATGAAATTAAAATGTTATAAAGATAAAATGAAAATATTGAAAGAAACAGGTTAAAAAGATCAAATATATATGTCAACGAAGATTTTTCCGTAATGGCAGTTGATAATAGAAAAAAGTTTTTTCAGAAGTTAAAGAACGACGTCTAATGGGAGAAAACCTTGAAGTGAGGTATGACAAAAGTATTCATTTAAAAAACGCGGTAAAATACTCAATCAGTGTTCCAAAGTAAAAGTAATGCCTTTTTTTATTTATTTAACTTTCTCTTTTTTTATTTTCTTGTCTTTATACATAGCTGAAACAATTAATTTTAATTTTTTTAACACATTTTCTGGTGAAAACGTATGTCACTTTTCAAAGAACATTGTACCTGACGTAAACATTCTTGACAATTATTCTATAGTAACTAACTATTTTAAAGTTCATGAGGTTACACGTATCTTAAATAAATCACTACATTACATGTCATAACTAAATATGAATATTAGAAGCATGAGCGAAAACTTTGAAAATCTAAAATAATGTAAATTTTAAATTCAGTATAATCTGTCTTACAGAAACCTAGTGTCAAGGTGAAGATAGGAGTAATTCTAACTTGCATTTAACAGATTATAAGTCTGTTCACCTACAAAAAAAACGGTATTGGCGGAGGCGTATGCATATTTATTCATAACTTGTTGATGTATAAAAAAATAGATAGCCTAAGTGTGAATAATTCGAATTGTGAAATCATTCATTATAGAGATAGTAAATCGAAAAGAAGAAAAGTCGTTTATAACAGCTTTATATTGACCACACAATGGGAGTTACAATCAATTTGAAAACGACATAAGGCGAATAATAATTCAAAACTCAAAAAAATATCTATACTTACTCGGAGACTTTAATTTAAACTTGATAAATTTAAACACTGATAATCACGTGGCAAGTTTTATAAATTCTTATAAATTCTTTCTCAATTTACTGCTTACTCCATGATTAACAAGCCGACGCGTGTAACTCGAAAAACATCATCTATCATAATAATTATAGTAACTCAATAATCAACAGTGGTATAATAAAAACGAATATCAGTGTCCATTTTCTTGCTTTTTTAACAACAAATGCTAAATGCTGTACAAATAAAAAATCCATAACAGTATAGATAAGGCATGTAAACAAAGACTCGATTGAGATCTTTAGACAGCTATTGCATGAAATCAATTGAGAATTATTGAATGATTGCAATGGTACATGTAACGCATACGATTTCTTATACGCGTCTTTACAAGACAATATGATAAAACTTTTTCTTAGGCTCAGAAAATTATAAAATCCAAAAGCGTGTATAACCCGTGGAGGACTAAAGGTCTTTAAAAATCATCAAAAATAAAAAAGGCTACACAAAAAATTAAAAAAAAACAAAAACTATGGAAACGAAACTAAATATAAAAAATATAAAAATTATTTCGAAAAAATAAAAAAGCAATCTAAAAAAAACTTCTATTCATGTCTACTCTAGAAATCATTTGGAAACCCTAATAAAACTTGGACAATAATAAAAGAAATAACAGGAAAAACAAAAATTACATCTAGCAACCTCCCTAATTTACTGAAAACTGATAAAGGTGAAATTATTAATTAAAAAAAAAAAATTGCTGAGATACTGAATATATTTTTTTTAAGTGTTGGGGAAAATTTAGCCAAAGAAATCTCTCCAGGAGCAAAACATTTCAGTCTTTTTTGAAAAAATCAGATTTTATTATGGACAATTTGGAACTTTCCAATGCAGAACTTCGTTTAGCTTTTGACATGCTTCAGACAAATAAAAGTGCAGGTCTTAATGAAAATAGTGCATATGTTTTAAAAAGTGTCTTTGATATTATCGAATTGCCTCTTTTTATTATTTTTAAACTTTCATTAAAAAATGGGGACTTTTTTAAACTTTCATTAAAAGACTTTCATTAAAAAAAAAACAATTTATAAAAAGGGCGACGATTCTTTAGAATTTACAGACCCACCTCAATTCTTTCCTTTTTTTCAAAGGTTCGAACGTATTATTTATAATAGAATATATAACTTCATTGATAAAAACAATATTTTATCTCATAAACAGTTTGGGTTTCGGAGAAATCATTGCACTGAGCATGCAGTGATGGATTTGGCTAGCAATATTTTGAAAGGATTTGATTACAATAATTATACACTTGGATTTTTTGTTGATTTCTCGAAGGTATTCGACACCGTCAACCACAAAATCCTTCTCTATAAATTAAAAAATTATGGAATTCAAAATTCTTATATAAAATGACTTCAGTCTTATCTACAAAATCGTAAGCAATGTGAGACGTATAATTGAACTTGTACGCAGATAGAAGTTATTATTTGTGGTGTCCCTCAGGGATAATTGGTCCTCTGCTCATTCTCTTATATATTAATGACATCCACTTATCCTCTAAATTCCTTAATTTTGTTCTTTTTGCTGATGATACTAGTATTTTTTTTGGGGTCTACTTTAAAATTTGTTTATTCTACTGTAAACACAGAGTTACAATAAAAGTTAATAAACTTCAATGACCGGTTTAAAGTTGATAAACTGTCTGTAAACATTGATAAAACTAAATACATTCTGTTCAAAAAACCTTTGAAAACTGATAACATCCCCCAGAAACATCCTGATTTATTTAAAAACAAGTTTAAAGTAAAAAGAGTACATTCAATGAAAACCCTAGGTATAATATTTG